ATTCTTATTTAACTTGTTATATTATCTCTTTTTATTTAATTCTTATTATTCAATTTGCGTTATCACTTTATTCCTATTCGACACTCATTGTCAGATAATCGTTTTCAAATCTGTCACTCAAAGTCTTCACTGTCTCTGGCATTTGTGATGACTACCAGCGGCATTCCAGTTCTCGACATTACCGTACTGTTGAATCTCTCTCCTCACTTCTCCGATATTCAGATCGTGGATTAATCCGGCACGCAGATTGTGTCGTCAAAAGTCCGACAGCCGGCTTGTCGGGGCGCTCGCAAAAAGGCGCCTTCGGATATGAAATTGCTTTCGTCTCGCGAAAGTCCCTTACATAGAGCTAACTAATCCGTGCTGACTTCTAAACGGTTGCCAATCATTTCCGGTTCTCGGATTAGTCGCGCGTCGAAGAGTCAGCGAGCTCGTAAGGATGTGAAACGGCCCGGTCCCTGGCAGGACCTTCCGGACCGATACGAAGGTGACAACAATGTGAACCTGGGGATGAATGTTGGCTTTCTAAGCGGCTTACAAACGACTCGTACACGCGCCCAAGAAATGATATTCCGCGCTGAGAAAGATTGGTTTTTTCACGCCTTTTTCAACCAGCTAGAATGGAGTGCATTGATCCGACATTAAATCCGTATTAAAAGAAATGTATGAAAGAAGATAGAAACTAGAGGTACTTATTATACTCTGACATGTATGATTTATACTCGTGTGAATTTGATGCACGCTACAGTGACGTAATCATTGTTATTTTCTTAAATTATATTTTTCAAAGAAAATTGGAAATTTTAACCTTTCAGATTTCTCTATTCTCTTTTGTAACTTGATCTACTTCTCAAATACATTGTGATTACATATTGTATGTACATATTGTATATAAGCATGTTCTTGAAATTTTTCCGTCGTTTATTTTTTTTCTTTTCGTTTTAATTTGAAAAAAAAAGAGAAAAGATGAACCGTACAGAAGTTTAATTGAAAAAAAAAACACCTAATTATTAACTTTTGATCAACACACAGTATAAATAAATACTTTGTTACAATAAATGGACAGTATTGTAAATGACTAATGTTCGTTTTCATCAACATAGATTAACTTTAGTCTCGCTTCAATTCAATTATAATAATTAGAAAAAGAATAAATTGAAGAGTAAATTAAATCGAGATTATAATTAATCTACATTGATGGGAACGGGCATAAAGCAATCGACAAAATATTGCGTCGAAAAGACAATTTCACCATGACATTGTGAAACATATCTAACGATGTAGAAGCAGATCAAATTGAAGCATGTACTTCCTCGCATGTGTTCCGCTTCGCGATTAGATTAGTGTCGCTACCTTAAATTGCACTTCGCTGATAATTTCCCGCTCATCAGCCTGACGCACGAAACGCGTGTAATTGTCGCATAAGGACATAACCAGAACGATAATTAGGGGCTCGCGATCCTCTAGCGAGAAGTAAACAGGTAACGAGCGATCGTATCCTCGGCGCGACGTATGATCGATGCGTAAATCCGTCAGCAATTACATCTGGTTGTTAGTCCGACGTTAATAATTTTCTAATCAACGCCGCGTGAAAGATCGATCGTATTTGTACCGTGACGAGCCGCGGCGTCGCTCGGTCCCGCCGTTGCGCTATGGCGGAATGTAATAATCGAGACGGGAAATTGGAATGGTTGGACGATGGCTTTAACGGCAGAGGGAAGGGGGAGGGAGGGAGGGAGGGTCGCCCCGTAAAAAAAATCGCCTGGGCCAATCTACGTGAAAGCGTGCGGCGCGGCAATTACATCGGTGTTACTCCTCCTAATTGTCTTTCATTAATAATTCTGTGACCGCGGCGCGGACAGCGTACCACGGAAGGTAGATACACTACTTACGCATTGACGATTATGGTCATGGCGCGAGACCGACCGCGACTGATAACGCCAATAACGAATATGCGGTCATTATCTCGAAAAAAAAAGAAAAAGAAAGAAAGGCGCCTTTTAATACTCGGTTTATGCTTCGCGTTTGTGATTCGCGAGAATAAAGTCTTTACGATGCGCGATGGCTCGATATAGATTAGGGCTTCGTTCGTTGTAAAGAGTTGGCTTGTGATTGCAATAAGCAGCTTTACTGATATGTTTATTTATTCATAAAGGTAGCGGACTTCTTGATACTTGTTACGTATAGACATATTAAAAATTGCAAATCATGTAACTAGATAACTTTCTAATGGATCTTATTGTATTTCGTACAATATGACTTTTTTATCGATGTTCGTTAAAAAGTAAGCATTATTTGCTGATACATATATATATATATATATATTATATATATATATTCTTCATATCTATCTACGAATTTGATTAAATCTAAATGTAATGTGTTAATAATACTACTGGTAAACGTATCAATAATTGGTTGGCTTAGATTTAGATATACTATCATTTTATTATTACTTGAAGAATTATATCTCAACTATAAAAATCATTATTGTGAAAATCATGTAGGAACAAAAGAGACAAATAATGAAAACATTTATTGTCATGTGACACTATTTATGTCGCATATGGATACGCGTTTTGATCATCGTAAATAATGATTATAAAATATTTATTTTTACAAATATCGCTTAACAGAGGAAATGTTAATTTAGTATTATATAAAGAATTAATACTAACTTTTCGTTTTACTTTTGGAGGTGGATTTCAGAAGATGACTTTCTTCATTTAACATTCTAGTGAGTTATCATATATTGAGTCCAAGGTATAATAAAAACATAAAGAACGCACGTACGTGTCGCACGATTCGAGCTCAACATCCCTTATCGCGGGCACTTTTCCCTATTCCCTCGTGTCACCATAGCCAGGCAAGGACGACGATTATCGATTACCATGACGTGACTCTCGAGATTTCCAAACGCCACGTCGGGGCTGGTCATTGGTCTTGTCCGTGAAACACTTAAGGGGAGTTATAAATAGCGACGCGGTGCAAGGTGCGAGCCGTCGCGGCGAGTCAATGTCGTGGAAAAATTGGCGCCTTAATAGCCCGCTGATGTTTTCACAAGGAAGGAGCGCCGGATTTAGTGCCGTGGAAGCAGTATTAGTGTTACTCGTCGCCGCTTCTAATCACATCGCCGTCGTCCGCGTAATTGTCGCTAATGCGCTTCTTTGAGGAAGTAAGCCGATTACGGAACAAACAGCCAGCTTTAGTCGTTGTAGCGAGCGGCTTCGTTGGAGTGTCGCGTTTAAAAACAAGCAAGCCCCGAGAGAAAAGGAGGACGATTGGTCTTGGGAGAAGAAGCTGCGAATTAATGGAAATCGTGCCGATACGCTCGGCACAGGTCACCTTAATAGCTCCCTCCGATGAGCTCCGACGAGAGAAAATGCGATCTACGATTTCTGCGATCTTTCTGTGCGGTTTGTAGCGACGCGCGAGAAACGTTTATTATCACAGTAGAAATCGAGTAGCGAGTAACACTTTTCAAACAAGCATTATATCTACATTTATACTCGCAGCTTTGCGCGAGTCACGGAGTTAATAATTTACACGCGTATCCCGTAGGTTTTACAATTAGGATAATTAACGTGAAAGTTTCACTGTAATTAAAAATCGATTCTTTAACGTTTCACTTGCATCTACGTTGTGCGTATGCGGATGTGAGTTTTGCGTAACACTGGTGGCTTGAAAGTCTTACGAAATTCGGCGTTGTCCGATCAAAAAAAAGTTATGACAACTTAGCACTTGTTCAGCCCGAGGGATTGAATTCTGGAGGACAACGGGGCACAGGTAGAAAAGTAAAGATGAATGAAATAAATGAGGGTAACATAATTAAAGCTTTCAATTTAGAACCATTAGAATTCCTAAACGTTTGTCGGTCGGATGGGCACAGCAACCCACTGGGAAAGAGAGAAACAGAGAAAAAAAAAAGATATACGTTTTATCTTAGGAGATTTGATTCTCGAAAGAGAGGTGTTCTTTATGCGCGTAACTAGCGATGGCCGTCGTGATTTCACCGATTGGAACATCCGGTCGGACCGTATCCCGTAAATGTCCTTGACACTTCCGTGAAAGCTCACGTGAGCGATCAGGTGAACAAATCGAAATCACAATACTCACACATTTTGTAACTGTAGATTATCATTCGAGTATTATACTTTTCAATTGAGTTGAAGTTTTGGTTATTGATAGATGAAAAAAAAACACGACACATTCAATTCCTTTTATATATATAACTTTGTTTGTCTCTATTGTATATTTTAAGAAAGACTTAATTGTGCGGAGTAAATTATATGCCGTATTTTTTTATGTATAAATATACATGTATAATATGGGAAAATGGAGCAAAACCGAGCATTATCTGTTTTCGAAAAAAAAAAAACAATACTGAATTGCTATTGTATTTAATAAAATTTTTAAGCAAATGATTGTTGTTCTTTGAATTGAAGAAGATATATAACTCTCTATAAGATCCGTCTATTCATTTTTATCCCATTTTTTCTACAGTATATCTGTCAAAAATCTAACTTTCTCATTACTCCGTTTCAAGACTACTTGCGCCTGTTTAAAAGAAACTCGAAATTTTCGTAAAAAATCAAATAAGAGAAAGAGATTCCTATTCGATCGGCGGATCTTGGTGCTTCATAATGTTGCAAATATGCAAAGCACAGATATATTATTTAATTAATATATATAATAGAAGTCTATAAATGCATGCCGATTCGATTTGTCGGACTTGAAATCCATAAACTAAAACTAGAAATATTACCACAAATTATATTGATTGTCTTTAATAATAATAACGCTATAAAACATCTTAGAACATTGCAAAAAACTTATCGCGAAAAATATTATCTCAGCTGAGATTCGAATTTGGCTCTCTTATTCCGTAAATATATACGTACTTAAAGAAAGTCTATATTCTAATATCGCCTCGGCTTCATCACGTCGTTATACCGAGCGACGAGCACTGTTTCGAAAGCGTGTAATAAAGTATCATTTACCATTGGACGTAACGGAAGCGCCGTCGTGGTGACTTGCGTCGCTGTCCTCGTCTAGATTGCTGTTGCTCAAGGACGTTCTGGATTGATGCCTGACACTGAGATCTCGCGGTGTCGAAGGTGGACTTCCGGGTGGCTCCTGACTGGGTAACCCGGATTGGTGCATCTTGCTCGACGCGCCGCCTAAGATATCAGTGATCATGAATCTCGACCTTTGCGGCATCGTCGTCGAGGCATCACCCCTTTCTAAGCCGTTGTTATTGTTCAAATTGTTATTCCGTGAATCTAGCCCGTTGGATAGACGTTCCACTGCCACGCCGTTTCGATCGACAATGTTCTCCAGCCGATGCGCCTCCAGGCCCGACATCCTGCTGAGATTCAGACCGTTATTGGCCACGGCGACGCCACTGAGAGCGGCCACGTGGTGGTTCTGCTGATGATGGACCGTCATCACGGTAGACGCAGGTGGTTCCTTCGGGCTACGGGCACCTGCAGGTGCCTCTGTCGCCACCCCAGGACTCGCCCGGTACCTGGGAGACAGAATCTTGCCGACGGTGACGATGTAGCCTATCCCAGGAAGAGATCGTGCCCTCTCACTCTATTTTAACTGCACTTCACTGTATCCTTGGTAGACCCAATTTCTTTCACTCCTCTTCTCCTCTTACCCGTACGATTGGCACGTTATTCGGCATCATTTGACGTTCAGTCTCGGATCTGTCGCGATCGAAGGATTGATTTTCCAACAAGAGGGTCAAGAAACTTCTTTTGTGACGAACATTCGTATTAGGAACATGAATACCCAGAGATTTCGAATAAAATTCGATCTTAAAGATTTAGAGATTTGCGTCCGACGTCGAGACTTTTAAATCGCCAAAATCCTGAAGGTGGTTTAGTGAATGAATCGAGGCGAAAATCTTGCAGAAAAATCTGGAGTAAATGACGCGTAAGACAGATATTTGCGTCGCGATGTGTATGCACCTTGCACTTCCTCCCGCTCACTCGATCGCTCCACCTCCGCTACCACCTTCTTCCCAGACGCAATTAAGGGGCCGCTCGGCTCGGCTCCCTGGTTAATTGCTAATTGGCCACTTAACATAATTGCCGCGCATAAGAGCGAAGCCGCCGGCCATTTCCGCTTTTCTTTTTCTCCTTTTCCTTGCTTGTTCAATTATTAATTATTTTTATATAAGACTTTTGTGGCGTGTTCTCCTCTCACTTTTGCACGATTACGCGCTCGGTGCGTTTATCTTACCAACGAAAGTAGAACCTAAGTTTGAGACCGTTCGCTAATCAATCGTTTAACCATGAAATAGATGCAATACTTTAAAAGAAAAATTTCTAACATTAACACATCCTCCGCACTAGATCACAGTTGTGCCTGATGAACGATCACGAGCATCAACAATCACTTGTATCAAAGTCCAATCAGTCCAGCAACCACCACTCCGATTTGATTTATCTCGATTGCGTCCATTCGAGAGTCTATGTCTTAGCCGGTTTATCGCGGTTACCTGTCACGCATTCCAGGATTAATCATTCTACGAAAATTTCATTAAGCTTACCGATTTCAAACCGGTAATATACCATAACAGTCTATCAGCACTGTTCCCCTTTGGACTGCACTATCACCTGACTCTTTGTTCACGTTTCGTAGCGTTATACGACCATCCAGATCACTTAGGACCGAATGAAATTTTAACAAATGTTTGCAAATTGAATATCCGTCGCGACAAATATTTCTCGAACGGCAACGCCTTCCGATTGGCGGATTCGATAATCACGAGCGTGCGATTCCGGGAGAAAGATCGATGCGACCTGATGCGAAATCCTGATCTTCGCCGGACGAAGAATCGCTCCGATCGGTCTAGCCAGGACTGAGAACGTGCGTGTGCATCGAGTTGCCACGACTGGTCTGCCTATACTGAGGACGGCAGGCACCTCTGCTCGTTGCTGGGCGGCCATATCGGGATTCTGACACGCCCCTAGATTGCCCTACCACTGATACCCCCAGGCCAATCCCGCTCGTTGCCGTTAAGCATCCCGCCAATCCTGACTGAAGCAACCTCGGCGCCTCCGCTATGTGCCACGGCTACGCCCAAGTAATTTGAAATGTGTTTCAGCGGTAATTCGATATAAAATTGTAGTTAATATCTTTCATTATAGTCCGGACGGAGGGAAAGGGGGCGCCCAAGCTCCTCGCGCGGAAGACGACGATGGTGGGAGGCATGGGAGCAGAGGCAGGGGACTGTACGGGGAAAGGGGGAAGGGAATGAAGCAGGGTGGAGCGGGCGGTGATACTGGCCTCCCACTTCCAGTTCGTTCTCCTCGAGATGGAACAGCGAAGCGGATCGTCGAGAGAACGACGGGAGAGGGAAGGGAGAAGGAGAGGGTCCAGCGAGACCTGGCTGGAAGGGATGAAGTGCCATCGAAACGGAGAAGGGTGGTCCCAGCTTCGCGAACTTACTCCGCGAATTTACGAATTCACGAGGACGAGCGGGCGAGCGAACGAGCGAACTTGGGAGTCCGGGTGAGCGAGCGTCGGGTTTTTTGCTATGTGAACTTTTTTTTTTTTGCGTCCCCCTGTCGTCGAAGCTCAAGAAAAGGCTCGTTAAGCATATCAAAGAAGCACGTTGATTAATCTGAGCTGTGTTACTAATGTCGCAAGGTGACGTTAAGCGTTAAATTGTGAAATAATACAGTCAATCAGAATAATGTCGACACACACATATATACACATATGTATAAATGGTGAACCAAATTACTGGTAAGATGACGACTATTTCTGTAATAGATCGAAATCTTTAAAAGTGATGTGACTCATCTATCTCATTGCAATTAATGATAATTTGTTATTGCGAATGAATTTACATGATATATATATATATGTATATATATATATGTATAATGAGTGAATTTTTAAATCTTTTATAAAAAGACGAATATCTGGATAAAAACGGATACTCCAATTGTTAGTATCATTTTTTTGTTCGTGACTTACGTGCGGGAAATAAAAAAGATTTGTGTATAAAAAGAAAGTAAATAGTACGTATTATTGTTATATTATTTGTGTATAAACAATAAGAATTAAAATAATTGTTTGTTGTAAAATGATTGTTTTTTTCAAAAGTATTTAAAAATAACAATCAACTTTTTAACCTCCGATTCACTCAAATATTAGGAAAAAATTTATTTCAATTTATTACAATGGATAATATATATATATATATATATATATATATATTTATCGGACTCGAATATCGCAATAAAATGTTCTATAAAAAATATGAAATGCTTCATATTTTTCAATGTCTAGAAATGTGTGTAAACGAAAATTCATGGTAGTTGTACGAGTATATTGGAGCAATTATTTTGACATCGTTAGAATCGAATCGAAATGAAATTAAATTCGGTACAATTGCAGGAATGATAGAAGTATAGAAATTAGGGATGTATAATATTATTTAATTATAGAGGATTGCTTATGCATAGTGTAAGTACAGTCCCGTATAGTATACCATAAATATATGCAAACACATAAAAAAATAATTACCCTAAAATAATAGACTGCTGAAAATTATTTAATATTTATCTTACTAATTAAGTTACGTAGTTAAAATAAAATAAAATTGATTTAATATACAGTAGTACTTTAATCTATTGCAAAATATACAACAACAAAAATTTGTAAATTTATAATTAAATGCAAGTTCTTATCTTTTCAATTTTATATCACATATATCATACATATAATCGTATATATATATATATATATATATGTGTAACGTAGTTTAAATTTGTTTAATTTACGTTAACTGTTCTAATTTAGAATTATCATTTATCGATTCTATGACAATTTTACATCGATTAGCAAATAAAAAATCGTTTCCATAGAGTCGGTTTGTAGCTCATTTCTGTGAAAGAAATTAACGGAGCCTGTAATGCGATCGTCAAAGCGTGACTCAACACGAAAGCCGGTGACTCGTAAGAAAATGCGCGCGGTTAATTTTTTCACCTTTTATTTTACATACACCTTTACACGCGTTGCCCCCTTCGCGGATAAGGCGAACAAGCGTATTCGTGTTGCACGGGTCGCACCTAAGAGGTGATGCGTTCGTACATACACGTCTCATTAATTAAACATGAGAATTAGCTACGAGTGTTGCACCCATGGGGCAATGAAAAGTTAATGTCGTTAAAGGGCACACTTATCGCTCGATAATTGGTTTACTAAAGTTTCCATGGAAAGATGCGCGAATGCAATTCGAATATGTAAGAAAACAACGACGCTAATTATCAGAAAGAAACAACTTTGTATAATAGGGTATTAATAGGGACGTCTGCAACGTCTAAATATTCTTGACGTAAACTTATGAATACATAAGGTAAGGTCGATTTATGATAAAATTATGACAATCTTGATTGAAGGAATTAACATATATAAATATTAGCGTGTCGGATGTACGCAATTCTGAATTATGTAGGATATATTAAAAACACACAATCTCTTGCAATTCAAATTTATTATGTTTATTTTTTTCTTTTAAAAGAAGCGTAGCATAAAATCTTTCTTAAATTAAATGTAATTATTAAAGCGTATAAATGTATTTCTGCATAAAACGGATACTATTATGAAACCTTTCTTATTCATTTATCCACCAATATCATATTTTTTTATATTCTAAAAGTGAGAATTTAAGAATTAACGTTTCGTACTAAATGTTTTTAATTATAATATCTACATAAAATATAATATATAAAACAGAGGAAAAAATAAAATTGCGAGACAAGATAATTTATACGGAATAATATACCGTTTAATGAAAATGAGAAGTTAATGTCGTTAAAATGCATCATTTCGACATTTCCGACCTTAGTCGGAAATCTCGAGAAAAATTTCTTTGAGGCTCTTTGACACTTTTTAATACGGAAAGCAGCTCGAAGACATTAATATGGATATATCGCTCTAATACCTGGACAAGTAATATCCACGTGTACGTCATTAAATTTACATGAGGATGTGACTTGAGTCTTGCGATCCGGTCAGGAACACGAAGTGAAAAGTTAAGAGCGTTAAAATGCTCCTATTAACGTACCAATTAAGCCTCATAAATCCGAGACCTCTCGGCTAGACCTTAATGACATTTTTCAGTCACTTTGAAACAATGTATAACTTAAGCTCAACATATTCAGGAAAAATTTCCGTAATCTAAACACTACCTTATCCGCTCTTTCCCCCATTTTCAAAGCTTTATAAATTTTTACTGGAAGTGATGCCTTTTTCATTAAAAATAATAACGCCATTTAATATTTTTGCAGTTATTTCATTATACTTGTATATAGTAAAATATATTTTATGTATACATATATATATATATATATATATATATATATACTAGAGTAGATATTATTTAATTTTTAATTAATTAATTTTTTATGTTTTTTTTACATCTTTTATAAAAAGTCGGCTTTGGAGATATTTATTTTAATCTTTAGTAAGCTTAACTACATTATACTATTTTGCTGAAGAAATCAATTAATTAAAAATATATATCATTATTATACAAAATATTCGCGAAATACATTTTCAGTTAAGCAATGGGAATTATTCGGAAAATAAATATTGCATAGAACGGAGTCAGAATACGAATAAATTTGTTTATCGGCTACCTTTAATCGACGTTCGCTTCGATGAATTAAAGTCGCTAATGTAATGAGACAGCGCAACATCGATGCTCAACTTACTTTACAATCCAGCTTTTAGCAGCTGCCGTTAGAAGCGGACATTCGTACGATCGAAGAACCCGAGGCGAATATACACGATAAAAGACCTGAAATTAACGATCCTTTAAAACGCTCATAAAATTCGACCAGATAAGAATCCTTCCACTTGCTCCGACGTCTCCACGTCGTATCGTCCGCTACGCACAACACATACTCGCGACACACAAATTACTCCCACACACAACCGAAAGTACAAACGCAACCTGCTTTCATTTGTTAACCAACGTCAACGAATAAGATATGAGCTATTTTTTTTTATGTCGCATCATATTTTTCATTTATCGAGTGAATTCTACGTATGATTAAAGTAATGAAGACTCCAACATGGATCTAAGGATAAAAGTAATTAGGAGAGAACAACGAAAAAAAGGAAAATTCTATATATCGAATGACAACAGTCAGTCATTAAAAAGCTTCACCTTTGGCGTCTAAAATACTTTTTATTTTTGTAAGATATCTTTCACAAAAGAGGGAACGGAGATAAGAAATTTTTCAACAATTCTATTTTTTATATTATAAATTTATATTCTCCTGTGAATGACATATTGAATATTTATAAAAATGATCGTAACAAATGATAATTATCATCCATTGAAAAATTTTATTTTTTTATTTTTAGCGTTTAAAATATTTTTTACAAAATATTGTTTCGGTATCTTTCACGGAAGAAACAAATACAGAAAATTTTTTAGTTTCAGTTTTATTTTTCTATAAATAATTTTGAATATCTTTGTAAATTACAACGATATCTTAAATGATTTTTATCTAAACATAGGCAAGGGTTGAATATTTAATGATGTATATTTTCTCGTATACTATCATGTTTTCTAGCAAGAAAACACATTTACATACTCCGTTCGCTAGCATATGGACTCTCTCTCTCTCTCTCTAAAGATTATTATGTAAAAAAGTTTTTTTTTTAGTCATAATTATAAAGGTGTAAGTAAATCGATTAATCACAATCAAAATTGCGATCTTACATTTTAAAATGCTCAATTAGTTGGTCGATATGTTTACGATCTTAGGGCCTATCCAGAAAACTTGCATAGCCATAACTGTGTGTGTGTGTGTGTGTGTGTGTGTGTGTGTGTGTGTATAGAGAAAATTATCTAATCATATATCT